AAAAAGTATTGCTCAAAAGGTTTATCACTTCTCTTACAGATATTGATTGATTACGTCAGGCAAGCTTTTTGAAAAGCTGTTACTTGTAAAGATACTTAAGACTTGTGCTTAAATACACACCTAAGTATAAATAAATTCTTAGCTAAGAAAAAAATCTTCTTAAGTCATATTCATAACAGTTCTAAGTGTAATTCTTAGCTAACTTTAATTCTTAGAAAATTACAGCACTTAAGTAAAGTCACCATAGCAACGCATGGAAATTCCCGAACAAAAGTGCACTCTTTTGTGATGGAAGTAATTAGTTCTATGAGTATTACATCATAACTGAAATGTACAAGCTTGTCATCAACAATTGTGCATTTATATCTTAACAGTTGATAAATATTTCAAAGTCAAAAAGAGTTTCTAGTTAGATGTTATATCATGATTTCTTTTTTAAAAGATTGAAATTTCTTCTGTTCACTATTGTTTTTACACTAATAATGAAAACTTAAGTATTTCTTATCTACTTAAGACACCTCCTGAGGACACTTAACTTTAAGTCAATACTTAAGCACTGAGCATGTTTATAAATTACACCTAAGTATTTCTACTAAATTTAAGTAAAACTTATGGAAGTTGAGTAAAAATACATATCTTAAGCGATTTTTTAACCTTAAGAATATACTAACAAGTTTTATGAATATCGCCCCAGTACTTCAGTGTCAAAAAGCATTTCATTGGTCGGGGGCGGGGGAGGTGGGAGGGGACATGTAAAGTTATTTTTAATTTACATTTACCATATGGAAAGGGTTAAATCCCTCAGTAGTCTGAGCTTACCCCTTTTTCCCTCTATAGTTATTATTTAGAATTTTTGTAAGCGTGTGTTTAACATATTGTTATTTTTTATTTACTTCGTAAAGATGCATGCAAACGTTTAACAACATAAAACTATATATGAAGTTTTTGTTTGTTAAAATTGTAAATGTACATGTATCATCATCCAAACAGTTGAAATATCAAACAAGACGAGTTTGTGAAACACTCTGCGCCCGGCAGCAACAAAAGTCGAAAAAGCAATTTTTAGCATATAGGTCACAGTCAAGGTCACACGATCATTACCCTTGGTGTCAGTTGAAAATGCTTCATTAGTGAAGTACATGTATGCATACTAAATGAAGTCTCTATCTCTCATGGTTCAAAATTTATGGCGAAGGTTAACGTTGACAACAGACAGACAAACAGACTGACAGAACAAAAACAATATAGGCCCCGAATCTATGGATTATCGGGCACATTAATATAACATTACTTGATAATTATTCCTTCTAAATGTTCTAAATAAATTATCTAATGATATCCCTCAACTTAAGCTTGAGGGGTGAAACTAAATATCTTTATGAACTTATAATTGATAAGCAAGTGGCGGATCCAGCAATCTTGAAAGGGGCCACCAGTAGGCTCAGGGTAGGCAGTGGCGTATATTCCTTATAAGCTACAGGCTACACATCATTTTCTCAAGGTGTACAAAAAATGTATACATATATGAAAAATCTATACATATATAACTCTGAGAGTAATACAAAATACATGACGATTGTATAAAATGACAGAGTTAATGATAAAGTTACTTTAAAAGTAGGTCTTGCCTTTTTATTTATAACCCCCCCCCCCCCCCGCTTGAAAAGCGGCAAGGTATATAACAATCGGTATGTCCGTTTGTACGTCCGTCTAGCTGTCTGTACGTCCGTCCGTCCGTCTGTTACGCTTTGGGGTACCCATCTCTTATCCGCAACTCCTCCCATACCACTGATATGAAGGAAATTTAATGAAACTTTCACAGAATCTTTATTACATATTGCCATTGTGCACCTCCTATTTTACTTTTTGATCTGACATATATTTTGGATTTTTCAGAGCAAAACATGGACACTGCCATTATATTCACATGGGAGGCGGGGGGTATCATTTAGTGAGCTCATTGCTCAAAGTACCTCTAGTTTCTATAGTATTGAAGGGTACCCATCTCTTATCCGCAACTCGTCCTATACCACTGGGCAAAATTTAATGATACTTTCACAGATTCTTTTTTACATGATGCAATTATACACCTCCTATTTTACTTTTTTATTTAACACTTATTTCGGGCCTCCAAGAGCAAAACAATGACTTTGTCATTATAATCTTATGGCAGGCGGAGAGTATCATTTAGCTATATATAGTGAGCTCGTTTCTCACAGTACCTCTAGCATTCATATAGGAAGCGGGCGTATCATTTAGTGAGCTCAATGATCACAGTTTCTCTAGTTCATTACTAAAAATGTTGGATGGATTTCAAAATTTTGTAGATTTAAAGCAATTAATTGAATATCATCTGTTCACTTGTAGTATATCCTATAAGACTAGGAACTAATGGTTCAGATTTCCAGGTCGTGTCGTCTTATCATTATGTGATATGTCATGAGATTCTGTTGTGGTTTTATGAAATTTGTGTATGACACCCTTGACCTGTTGACTGTAAGTTATATTCCTGGGTTATAAAGCGGGGGGGGGGGGGGGGGGGGGGGGGTTATAGTACTTGGGATGTCCGTCCGCCCGTCCGTCCGTCTGTTCAGTACGCTTTTTGGTACCCATCTCTTATCCGCAACTCTTCTTATACCACTGAATGAAAGAAGATGGGGGAATAAGGCGGGCAGAATGCCTATAGCGTCGGATATTAAGAAATTATATTCAGTATGTGAATTGAGTATTTAAATTAACTTCTCATTATTGAAATTTATGAAATTATGAGAAAAAAAACTTTTCTGAAAGAAAAAAATCTCGTAGAAAATTTTTCTTTTCTAAAATATTCAATTGTATTCGTGGGATTCGAACCCTAGCAATAAAAATCCGACGTATCAATTTGCTTTGAGACTAACGCGGTAACCACTATGCTACACGGCTCATAATCAATTGGGGCATTTAAATCATGTTTGTGATATGACCTTGACTTAATGGACTTGAAGTATTTCTGGGAAAGATGCGAATGTTTTGTCATAAAAGTGTACGTACTTTTAAGGTTCAGTGGGTCTTCGCTCCAAGTTTTTGTAAACAAAAAAATGTATATTTTATTGCAAACTTTTAGTATTATCTTTCAAAAAAATGGAGCGAAGACCCACTCATATTTAAAAATTTTGTTAAAGCCTGAGAAATTGATCATTTTTGTTCTTTTTATTGTGTGTATGCTTCTTCAGAGGCAAATATTTTCAGTCTTTGTGGGATTTTTGTAAATTGTAGAGATTTTACATTAAGTATACTTTAATATTAGTTGAAATATCAAATAAAATTCGGATATAATTAAGATAATTTTTTTCACTTCTTATCTGTCGCACTATAGGCACTTCGCCTTTCAGAAGGACGTATAGTAATCAATTTGCAAGATGTTCGTCTTTCCGTCCGTTTGTCTGTACGTCCGTCCGCCTGTTACGCTTTAGGGCACCCCTGTCTTATCCGCAACTCCTCTGAATAAAATTTGATGAGACTTTCAGAGCATCTTTATTACATGTCATTGTGCACTTCCTATATCATTTCTTGATCCGACACATTATTTTGGGTTTCCAATTGCAAAACATGACACTGCCAGTATATTCTTACCTAAGACGTGAGGTGTGGTGGCTTCTGAAAAACATGTGACACCATGAATTATTCCTCTTTACACCTTACCGTAAAGGAATATAGAGAGGAAAATTTCTCATAGCACTGAAAACATGGATACTGCCATTATATTCATATGCGAGGCAGGGGTATCATATATAGTGATTTCTTCGCTCTCAATACATCTAGTTTTAAATATATTCGTTTTTCAAATCTTATTGTCATAAAATCGCATGATTTCGTGTCTAATTTTCAATTTTTTTCCGAACCCCCACCAACGGGAGGGGGCTACCACCTCTCGAACCTACCCCCTTTTGGCGCTTTGCGCCCCAGGTGAACTTTTAATTTACAATACCCCACACAAATAGAAAGGAATATTCGCCAGGGCTCACAGCCACACCAAAAGAATGAATTGTTTTAATTCTATGATGTTTAAAATTTTACCTTTCTGCTACCATCCTTATTAATCTATATAAATATTTCTCACTTCCAAACCATGCCCATTATTGTGAAACTTTGAGAAAAATAATTATGAACTGTTATTAAAAGTGGTGTTCATTTTACTCATTAAATCATGACTTAAGTTGTTATTTTCAATATTTTGACAAAAGTTTGATTGTACATGTATCATCTGTCCTTAAAAATATTATGGTCATAAAAAGGAAAAGGCAGTATAGGCAACATTATTCAATATTATATCTTTGAAAGCAAGGAGGAAAAGATCAATAATCTGATGCTATGACAGATCAGAAATTGTCTTTAAAATATTATTTCATATAGGCGTCGGAAGCAAATTAAAAGGAGGGAGGCAAAACCAACAAAAAAAGTAAACCACAATTTTCAATGTCTATACACTGGCGGATTTAGAGGGGCCCCCTTTTGAGTCCAAAAAAAATACACAATATTTGATAAATCAATGTTTTTTTTTTTGGGGGGGGGGGGGTGGCTGTGGGCTCCTATCCTGACCTCAAATGGTTGCCCCCCCTTTCAAAATTTCTGGATCCGCCACTGCTATATAATGTCTATCTTTGCAAAAAAAAGGTTAGGTCCTCTCTAATTATTGTCAGGAGTATGAGGCGCCTGCGCGAAAGGGGGAGGGGCAGTTTTTTTAATCTTACAACAAAGGGGAGAAAGTTATCTAGTTTATAGACTTTATCCCACCCTTAGCGGCCTAGCGATTTTTGAAAATACTGACCTCGATTTTTTTTTAAGTTTACAAATTAAGAAATATAATGATCACTTTAAATGTCGGAAAATGCACCATACGCCTCATGATTATTTTGGATCCGCACACTTTGAATTAACTGGTTCTCGGAAGGAGAAACGTAACCAGTTTATTTGTTGTCATAGTCCATTGCTTTGCACGGATTACTTGTGTCGGCCTTTGTTATAAAGAAAATCCTGATGGGAATATGACAGGCTGTGAAACTCCCTTTTTAACCTGAAGAGTTTTATTGTAAGCTTGAAATGGGACAAAGTTTATTAGAACATTGCATCCTGTAGCTTAAATTATCAGTCAGATTTTATTACATATACGAATGTTCGAATTTCCTCTATATTAAATTTGCATGGTATAGTATAATTCTAGTATTGTAGTTCGAAAATCGGACGTTTTCCAGTTTTTTTCAAACAAATTTTGATATTTCACGTGCCAGAAATTCCAGGTAAAATATCAAAATCGTAAGTACTGTTGCTAGACTGATAAGGCGAAGGATGGAGGGAGGCCTACAACAAATCCTAGGACATTCAACATTAACTGTTCAATACAACTAAACTGAAAGTAACCAGAAATTTGGCAAACGCAATAAATGTCATATATTTATTTTTATTTGGTGCAAGTATAATGTTAGATTGAAAATGTAGCAGGATTTCAGGGATGGATATTTTAAATGTATGACTGGAACGGGAATCGAACTCGGACCCCTGTATCAATAAGCAGAAGCCTGTTCAACGGAGCGAACACTTGCCAAAATTCCTTATACCTCCAACAGAAATGTTTGTGAGCACTCCCTCTGTTGAAATTAGCTGCAGAAATGTAGCTCTCCGAAAAAATATATATTGACAGATCGGAGAGCTACATTTGTACAGTGCCACCCATTGAAAAAAAATTATATTTATTGTGCACAGAAAAAGTGTGCTCGGTTCTGGATTTATTTAATTCTTCCAAATTCTTACCCCAGTTGCAAAAAAAGCTAGATTTCAAACATCTTTACTCCTCTATCAAGTACTTTCGTAGTTTACACATATATAAGTGGTGGCTGGAATATTCAGCTTAAAATCCATTATGCTTGTAAAAAAAATTATTTAACTGATTAGTGAGAATTTAAAACTTGTAATTGAAAGCTTAGATTATGCCAGCAATGGACGAGTTTTCAATTATAATCAATGATTGGAACACCATTACACCAGAGGCCAGTTCAACTTAGCTGCAGAACTGTAGCTCTCCAAATTATTATTTTTAATTTTTGACAGACCGGAGAGCTACAGAGCCATCCATTGAAAAATCTGCATATTTATTGTGCACAAAAAAGTATGCTGTTTCTCCATTTTTTTAAAACTAGCTGTCATCTCAAAATATTACTAACCGTGTGTTCCTTACATATTCTTTCACTGTTTCCACAACAAAAATATCCTTATTATTGTTTATGATAAAATTATTTAGACACAATATATCGCAATACCGAATCTCTGGCCAATACTCAGCCCTAAGAAGCAGTAACATTAACCATGATTTGGTAGAATAGAGCTCTGTTGTACTATATGTGTCGAATTTTTTTTTCAGGGTTATAAAATTCTACATTTTTTTGAAATGTGACAAAGAGCGAAGCAGACCTCTATCTCAGTATAAGTAGAAGCCAAATCAATGCCAAATCTTCAGAGATACATGATGTGGTTTTTTCATCGATTGGTTCGGCACAAAAAACTTGTCTTTGTATTCATCGGCTTGAGTGTTGTATTAATCCATTGGTACATGCAAACGTAAGATTTTTTGTATCTCTTCTTTTTTAGAAGGGTGCGGGGGGGGGGGTTGAATGGGAGGATGTAAGTATGGGAAAAATAATTGAGACAATAAATTGCTTGCTTTTGCTTTATTAATGGGAATGATATTAATCAAAACAATAAAGCAAGAAGATAAGATAATTAAGCTTGTTCAATTGGAATTCAAATCTGTAATATTTACATTTGCAAATGTTTTCCTTTATATAACACTACTGAAAGGAATGCGTATCTATAACTGTATAAATACAGGTATGGGGTCAAAAGGTCATAGATGTGCGTATGGATAATCGTTTGACGTAATTTCTTAGTGACGTCATAAAGGGTCGACGCGCGTTCAGTGAATTACATACATGCCGTTGGGTTTGAAAAATAATGCATTTCACCATTAAAAGTCACAATTAGGCAAATATAAAGTATGAATTAGTCACAAATGTAAATATAAGTAATAAGGTATCATTTTTAAACATCTATCGGGCTATAAATACGGGTCGGTACGAGATTAAATTCACCATAAAGCCCTTCGGGCTAGATGTTTAAAAATGATACCTTATTTCTTAAATATACTTTTTTGCTGAAGTTTAAAAAAGATCTAAAGTCAAAGATATGAAGATTAGATGTATAAAATGATCTTGTTTTCCTTTTTCAGTGATAATTACCTGATTGAAGAGTTTTCTTTCCCACTTTCAACAGCTCAGAAATCTGGTTCACATGACAAAGTACATGAAAAAGGTATTTTTAGTATTTTTACGGCATCCAATACTGTAGACATACTTTTTTCCACGGGGTCATAATTCCGCGGAATCTCAATTTCTGTTTAATCCACGGGTAGAAAATAACGGGGATTTTCTAGATTGTCACTCTATGCCTTACATTTATATAAAGTACGAGGGTTGTCCCAAAAAGTCGTAGACAGGGAACATAATTTATTTACTCTTTGCTGAATCAAATTTCTTTTCTTGTCATTGCAAAAGTAACATTTTATGATCATGCATTTCAAGTTTCATGACGATATCACATTTAATAAGAAAACTATGAAAAAATAAAGAAACCATGTCAGTGTACATCGGCGCACGAAAGCAAGCGTAATTTACGTCTCTCATGATGTCATGGTTTTTTTCTGCTTTACACGCGGATATTAATATCCAAATGAATATTTTTTTTATAGTGAAAAACTACTCTTGACTAAGGGTCTTATTTAAATTCTTTTCTGTCCGTTTTTTAAGCAGATTCAAATTTGAGTTAAAATTTAGTTGTAAGATATCACCATACTTTTTAGGCAGCAGAGAATATACCTAGTTTGACGACGTTCATGGCCCAGAACGTTCCAAAATGTCTGCGTTTAACAGAAAGTACTCTACTTCTTACATGCAATAACTTTTTTTTCGATAAAGAGAAAAAACTATCTTTGAATCTCGAGCTATTTAAAAACATCTTCCCTATTAAAATCTAGTATGTATTGTCCTTTCTGTACTCTTTTCCCCGTCTCTGATGAGTATAAAACGTACCAAAAACAATTTATTACATTTCTGTGCGCTGGGTATGCGTTCGACGATGTCATTTTCATCAATCTCAATTTCAACAAAACTTTGAAAAATATGCCATTAGTCGTCTGTTTCTTATTCAATTTATATGAAATTTTGACATATTATTAAGATTTTGATTCTGGTCTCAGTGTTATAAATTTTACTTCAATCTTTTACATCCCATACAAAAAAAAGGTACATATAGGCATACCTTTTTTGTGCCTTTTCTGTGCCTAATGTGTACCTACTATTATAGGTACAGAAAAGGCATACCTATTCTGTACCAAAAATGAACTTAATTTTTTTCTAGTGTACCTAAAATGTACCTAATTTGGACTTTGTCATTTTACAGTGTGCCTGAAATGTGCCTACTTTAGACTTTGTCATTTTTCAGTGTACCTAAAATGTACCTAATTTGGACTTTGTCATTTTACAGTGTGCCTGAAACGTGCCTATTTTAAACTTTGTTATTTTTCAGTGTGCCTAGAATGTCCCTATTTTGAACTTAGATATTTTCCATCTTACCTACTATGAACTTTGTCATTTTTCAGTGTGCCAGAAATGTACCTATGTTGAACTTAAATATTTTCCAGTGTGCATAAAATGTACCTACTTTGGACTCAGTCATTTTTCAAAATGCCTGAATTTAAATACTTTTTTAGATGACTGGTTCTTTGTATCTGGGTGTGGGTGGGGTGGGTTGTAGGGGGCTGGGGTTGAATTATCATTCAACATTTTGTGCATTTAATTTTTAATAACATTATACTTCAGATTTCACATCATTATTTCAAGTCCTCAGTATAATATATAGCGGTGTTGTGGAAAGAAAAAATGGGGAGGGGTGATAACATTGTTACTCTCAAATGCCAAATATGTAATTATCATTTATTCAATTAATCTTCTTACGGAAAATAAAAGGTAAAGATCCATTTCTGTTCTTAAAATATGCACTAGTTTGTCTTAAAGAGTGTCAGTTCTTAGTAACTTTGATTAACATTCTCTAAAGCCCGGTTTACACGCTCTGCTTTTGCAGCTGCTTTGAAGCAGAGCTGCAAAAGAAGAGCGTGTAAACAGGGGTTTTGCACTGCAGGCATGCAAGCAGACAGAATAGAACTTGCCCTATTTCAGTCTGCAAGCAGACGTAACTGACCATTCTGATATGAAACTATATGGCTTTAAAGTGAGAGCAGGCAAGGTAAGCAGCTGGTGTAAACTCTCTGTCTGCTTTGCAGAGTAAAATGCAGACCAAAAATGCAGCTGCAAAAGCAGAACGTGTAAACTGGGCTTAAGACATAGGGGATTGTCTTATAAACACTATACAATTATATTGACCTTTAACCCCCCCCCCCCCCCCACTACACACGCACTTGCTAAATTATTATTATTTTTTTTTTACATGTCATTTTATCAAGTTTTTGCATTTATAAAACTAATTCTGCAATACTGTGAAATATGTCAATTAGAGACAGGAAATCACTTTCCGCTTGAACGCATACAATACACAGGTAATCCACAGAGAGATCAGGTTTAGTCCATGCACCTAGTGAAGTGGACACAAATTCATGTAACCAACAGCCAAATCTGCTTAGTTACGATGCTTCTCTGTATTATTCTTGCAGTATAATTCTATAATTTCTTTTGCTCTTAAATAATTTAATGATAAATGAATGTTTTAACTATGTGAATAAACTGATAAACTATTAAGATATAAAACGTTTTAAAAACTAAATACATTTTTTTTTCAAAACCATGTTTGCTAGCAAACCCCTCTAGTTGTAACAGATACAACTTTTTATGATAAATTATCATTAATAAAATTTATATACACATCTCTATGTCCAGTAGAGGTCCCATTACGCGATCACTGCATCTCTATCTCTATCTCTCTCTATCTCTCTCTCTCTCTCTCTCTCTCGTACATTTTGTAACTACAAAAATGTTTGGGATGTTTAGATTAATTTTATAGGGTGAGAATTTATATCCATTAGACCAGTTACTGGTGTATTTTGAAATGGCCTTTGTTTATCTTTGAATGCAAAACGATGTCGATTTCCTCAGTATTCGGTGTTAATACCGGATGACCTTCACCCTGCAGAAATTGTTAGTGTATCACATGTAGTTCTCGACAAACCACAAACATGACAAAACGGTGATTTCATTAGATTTTTCAGCTCAACATGAATGGGTAAAATACAGAAGAATAAATTACAGAATGAAATAAATAGAGATGCTTTAACTTTTACCGGTAGCAGGGACCTATATACTGGTAGTATATAGGTCTCTGCCGGTAGTTAGGCAGTAGCAGTAAAAAAAAGTGCACATTTACAGAATTTTCATACAAATAATAGCCCCCAAGATGCACAAAATACAGGTGCTTATCATTTATAATTATTCACCATGTTCACATACTAGGCATTTATGGATTGTATACTGTAATAATTTACATACATGTATTTCGATGTTTGTATCACTCTGTGGTGTTAGTTACATTAATTAAGATTTTATAGTTGAAATCTAACATGAAAGAAAATTATGAATAATTAAAAAAAATAGGGGGCCTAATCAATTTGAGGGTGATTTGTTATGTAAACAAACACAAAATAGTAATGGCGGTCAAGATGGCGGTTTAATTGTTTGCCCAAAATAGCCACGCTAAATTTCAAGGATTTCTTCGCAATCGGCTTTCAGTTTAAGTTGGGGCTTCATTAGATAATTGTTAAATGTTCATTGTTATACTTATAAATTGTTTACACGAAATATTTTATGAATAATTTAATAAATTTTAATAAAATCACGTGACTCCAGCGAAGTCTACGATTGGTCAGTGGAGAGCGCGGACATTTCTGAGACGTTTTGAAAATTTGCCGAGATGAAAGCCTAAAAAAGAAATCGGAGAATTATAGTTCGGTAAGTCTTTATTTCAGTGTAAATTTTCATGCTGCTTGTTGTTAGTGTATTTGTGCACGTAAAGAATGCATTAGAATGTGAATATCAAGTGTAAATTTTACGAAGTTCTAGGTAATTGTACCGTAGATTTTTGGTTTGTTTTGATTCAAGATGGCCGTGTAGCCAGTGCTACAGCCTACAATGAATAGATGACATATAAATAATAATTATTTTGTTTAACCTGATGTGTAACAAGACATAAAAAGTGTTTCACAGTTTCAGAGTCTTTTAAAAAAATACCAGAAATTAACGTGTCAATATCGCGGGAACAGGTTATGTACAGTAGCCTCTGCATGAGCATGGCGATAATAACAAACAGAAATTCAAATGATCAGTGTGAAAATTTAATCATTGGCATATGAAATTTGAAATATAAAGTAAAGTCACTATTTAAAAAAAAGGGGGGGGGGGTTCTTACATGTAATAGTTTTAATTTAAATTATCAAAATTACAGAATTTATAAAACATAGTATAACAAAATTAACTGATTTGAATTTATGTTATAAGTTTACATAAAATCATTTAAACCCCATCTCTCCACTTGGTTCATGCCAGGGAAAATGAAGGGGGGGGGGGGGGGGGGGGGTGGTATGACACACATAATTTATTTAAGAGTGACAATGTTTCAGTATTATATTTAAAAATATTATGTATAAAAATTAGTGTAAACTTTGTTAATAATAATGTCAGATAATTTCATGAACAAACTTTCTTTTTCAGCAAAATTCTTGTCCCCTGTAGTCATTGTAAACTTGGGGGAAATGCATAAAGACTTTAACTCTGTCAGTAAGTATGAAATCTAATCTGATTTTGAAAAGAAATATAAATACAGTAATATAGTAAAATTAATCACCACTTTTCAAACTCCATTGTAAATTTTAGGAAATTCAGATGCAGATCGTAACAGGGTAAGGGGGGGGGAGTGTCCAAATCACTTTTAATTGATTAAGTATATATATATACATTTAATTACATAATATATACATAATGCAAGTAGGAAGGAAGTTCCAGACTCCCTGGACCCCTCCCCTATAGATTCACACATTGGATTTAATATTTTTGAAAATAATTTCAAAGTGAAGACTCAAGAGCAACAACTTTTTCAGAATTGAAGGGAATGGCATGAAAGAAGGAATTGCGTGGTACATTCAAATGGAGGATCAATTTTCATAAGGAGTCCAGATGAAAATCGCAACTGTACAGAAATGAGTATTTACCCTGGTAAAAGGTCTATTACTGTGCAGAAAATTCTGTGGTGCCAATTGGGTAAAAACTCTATGAAAGTAATGAAGATTACATGAATTGCACATGCAGCAAGTGAATAATGTGTGGCCAAAAAAAGGACATGAAATGGAGTATACTTTCAATACCTTTACGGTGTCTTTGTGTATTTACATTGCATTAATTATGTTTTGTATATGCTGAAAAGGTGTGTTTATTTTTTTCTTGCAAAGAATGATATTACAAATATTTTTGTTAAAGGTAACAATATTAATTTTTTTTTTAAATATAGGAGATTTGTCATTTTAGAGAGGATTTAAAATAGTTATTTTTCATATATATTTTCATGTAGCATCATATAATAAATTTTTACTTGTTTTTACTTGAACCTGATAATAATTGTTAAATTCTTCCTTAATATAGTCCTGCCCCATTCACAAGGAATGATAAGTATGTATTTTTCATGTTAGGCCAAAAATTTAAAAATTTTTGTTGGAGAAAGAAATTTTTAACTCCAGGGTTTTGTGGTTGATTTGTCGACAAAAGCCCATTTTTTGATATGCCTAAAATGTACCTTTTTGTTTAGTTATGCGGTGTGCCAATATTGTGCTTTTTTAGTACCTAAAATGTGCCTATTAATGATTTTGGTACAATATAGGTACCTTGTAGGTATACTTTTGGTATACCTCTGGCATACTTTTGGCACAGCCTTGAAGGTACCTAATAGATTGATATGTGGGCACTTTTTAGGTATGCCTGGAATGTACCTACTGGTCTAGTTAGATGGTGTGCCAATATTGTGCTTTTTTAGTACCTAAAATGTGCCTATTAATGATTTTGGTACAATATAGGTACCTTGTAGGTATACTTTTGGTATACCTCTGGCATACTTTTGGCACAGCCTTGAAGGTACCTAATAGATTGATATGTAGGCACTTTTTAGGTATGCCTGGAATGTACCTACTGGTATAGTTAGATGATGTGCCAATATTGTGCTTTTTTAGTACCTAAAATGTGCCTATTAATGATTTTGGTACGATATAGGTACCTTGTAGGTATACTTTTGGTATACCTCTGGCATACTTTTGGCACAGCCTTGAAGGTACCTAATAGATTGATATGTAGGCACCTTTTAGGTATACCTAAAATGTACCTATCTGACTGTTAGAATTATATGCCATACTATGTATAGGCATACTTTAGGTATGCCTCACTGCTCAATCGAATGTTTTATGTGTGCCTAAAATGTACCTAAATGTGAAATAGAAAAAAATAAATCATTGAAAAGTATACCTTTAGTATGCCTTTTTTGTACCAATTTGCTACCTATACTTGAAGAAGTGGTTCCAAACTTGTATACTTTAGGTATACCTTTTTTGTGCCTATATTTATCAAGAATAGGCATGCCTAATCTGTACCTTTTTTTGGTATGGGATAGCACCAAAGAAATAAAAGCAAAAGTAATAGTTATCATGATGGTTATATGCATAAATTATTCCAAATTTTGGTCGTGCGCCGACAGACCATATCGGCCTTCATATAAATCGTCCCAATACAGTTAATATGTAAGATATATATTTAAGAAATTATGATTTTAAAGAACATTGAATATATTATGTCTATGCAAAATTTGGTTAGTTTTGGTTGCGAGTTAAAAAAATTATTAACATTGTCTACGACTTTTTGGGACAACCCTCGTATACTTGGACAAATTTCCACGGAAAATTTGTGTCGGCGTATATAGCGTAAATTCTTAAGTAAAGAGGTGAATTTTGTCATTTGAAGAGGTCATTTATAAGATTTTTTTTCATATACATGTGTATATATATGTTACATGTATTTATTTTGCCAATGATGAAATTTGCCCAGACAGAGTTTTGTTTAAGTAATCATACTGTATTCCTTGAATTTGCCCCGTTTTTAACGTCGCCCAACCGAGGTTAGGGCAAACATGGCAAAAGGGGGGGGGGGGGGGGGGATGAAACGGGGGCAAAATTTCCCTGTATACACAGTTTACTGTTTGTATTTGGACTGTTACGATAAAGGAATGATGATCCTTTGGAAAACCATGGTTTATTATAAGAAAGTATTTTTTAAGGCCAAAAAAAATAATCAATAGTTTCTCAGGCACTGCTGCATCAGTTTAAAAACGGCAGCATTGATAAATTTTATTGATGTATTGAAAAGGGAAAGAGCTCAATTTTCTATTTTTCCAAGTTGAAAAAGACAAATCAAGTTATTGAATTTCCCCTTTTCATAAAGTGGTTTTTATTAGAAAAACAATATATTTCTTCTAAATTTACAGTATTTTATGAATTATCTTTTAAATAAATGTTTGGAATAACATTATCTTAAGTTGAATATATATTATAACTACGGTAATTTCAGAGAACAAAAATTAAGAATTAGTAGGTTATATTATCATTTTATTGAACAAATGGCTTAAAAAAAGGTGTAAAACCTGCTTCAAAAAAAACAAAACGCCTGCCTGCTGCGTTGAATTTTGACTTTTTTGGCCCGAAAAACTATTGATTACTTTTTTTTGGCCTAATATTTATATTTATTTAACGTCTTTTGTAGATCATCCTAAAGTCACACAGAAAGTACAAAAAGTATCGGAGGAAGAATCCCAACGCTACGTCAATTACATGGCAGAAAACTTCATCATAAACTTCACAGTCATCAAGAACACAGCATCGGACGCAATAAAGAAAATCTCTCTCCACAACGTAGGACGGCTAACAATACCCCGATTTACGTGGAGTATATACTTTTATGACATCACGTTTGTCGGAAACAGCAGGTTTCCTTATCCTCAAGGTCTGAGGTTAGATAATGCTGAACTGCTGATTTTTCACGAGGGAGGAAATCACTATCGACTGCAACCGACGGAGAAATTTCCCCCATATATTAATCCAGATGACAGAATTGAGGTGGAATACGATGCATATGGGCCTCATGTTTCTAGATATTTTTCTTTTCCAAACTGGTATGTTTCGTGTCCCACATGTGCCCCCAGAATTTTGAAATGCACACAAAGTGAAAGTTTGGATTTTGTTGAAAAGTTCTCCCAAGTGCAGCAGTATAAACGATTTGAAAATGACCTTCATAAACCTTTCACAGGCAATGACAGATTTCAAAGGTATGGTATTGTCAGATATAAAAGTTAAACTTTTCCAAAATTTTTTAAGTGTAATTACTACATATGTATGTTTTTACATTTGAAGACATAAGTCTGTGTAAATATATTTATTTTTCATATGTCATATTGTGCTTTTTCACTGTTGCTCAATTTCATAACTGAAAAATAAAAGATATTGAAAATGAAAAGCATTAAACAGTAGCTGCAATAATGTAGCATGACCCCTTCCCCCTTTTTAGGGGAGAAAATCTGGTAAAATATATCAGAGAGGGCTTCATTCATTACCTTATAGCAGCTTGATAAAAAGGCTTCTTTGTGTTTGTTTAGAAATTATAATATATTTATTTCTCTGAAAGAAAAATCATGACTCTCTTTATGACTGCACAAGTTTAATGTCTGAGAGCTATGCAGGATATTTTTACTAGACACCTAAATTTAAATATTCATTTTCTTTTTTCAGCACTTGACCCTTACAAATTCATCTCTCTTGTAGGAATGCAGTACCCAGTAACTTACGTAAGGTCCCCCTGAGTTCTGTCCTCCCCACCCCCCTCAGGGTGGAGCGGAGTGATGGGGACTCCCTCCTGGTAACTACCGGTGATTGGGTCATCAACGCTCAAGATTTTAAGGAGGAGGCCAAACTGCTTGCTGGTATTGATTTTTTTTTCTTTGAAAAAGAGGGAAGATTTTAACGTTTTCAGAATATTGCAAATTTTGAATCAGTTAAGTTGACAATTCTTTATTTCAATGCACAGGCCTTTTCAAAAGGCCTGTGCATTGATGTTTTGCAATAGATATTTAGAATTAATTATTGTATTTTCATTTAAGGCCATACATGTATATTACATGCAATATATCTTCATAAATCCAAGCGTAAAACAACGCGCGCACAATGCTACCGCTTTTGTGGTCAGAATCTCCCTATTTTTCATCACAATAGGTTAACATGTATACCTTTTGATCGCTTAGAAAAAAACTGAGTTTTTTTTTTAAACACAATTTTTTAAGTGATCCAAAGGCCTGTGTTTCAATGTTAATGTACAGTATTGAGAGTTACTTGGAGAATCTTGTTGAAGTCTTCTTAATTTTTGGATCTTTCAGGTTTATATGTGCCTTATATCCCACCTTATCTGCCAATAAGCTGACATATTTTCATCACTTTTTTTTTTTTAAATTAAATCATGATATACATGTGTAACTATAATCAGTGCATCACAAAATGTTACAGGATAAGAAACTGGGTTATCTCAGATAAATTAAGATTCCAAATGATAATGAAATTTGTATTTAGTCAGACATACATGTACTGTACATGTATAATTATTTGCACTCTTAATTCATAAATTTATGTACTTGATTTATTCTTTAGAAACCCTTCAGTTAGAAATGAAGAAAACAGAAGCCATCTCAACTGTCATAACTTTCACCCGCACAAAAATCACCTTACCTATGGAATCCAATCTCTCTCTGTCAGAAGCTTACGAGATTTTGATTGACCCAGATTCAGATACGATCCAGATTAAAGCGAATTCTGAACCGGGAGCATTTTACGCTGTACAGACACTTTTCTCCCTCAAGAAGAAAGAACAAGACAAGAAAACGAAGTCCTTTGGTTATCGGTTTCCCAAAATAAAGATCACAGATGCCCCCCGCTTTGAGTATCGAGGACTGATGGTGGACGTAAGTCGTAATTTCGTCACCAAGAAGGACGTCTTGAAGTTGCTGGATCTAATGGCGATGTATAAACTTAACAAGTTCCATTTCCATCTGACTGATGATGATGGCTGGAGGTTTGAAGTCCCACAGTTTCCAGAGTTAACAAAGGTAGGAGAAGTGGGTTGAGAATAGGCCATTTTCACATTTACAAAAGTTATTTTCCTTTGCGGGGTCAATCTGGGGTCAACCGACAAAAGGCACTGATTTTTTTCTATAACATTACTAACTTTGTGGGAAAATATATTAGAAATGAAATCTGTATGCATGTATATGTTTATTTTGCTTTTTAATGTTGCCCCATATTCTGGCAATACAGTCACAGATCGAAATTGCCTGATATTGTTTGAAGATTAAAAATATTAACAGGTAACTTACAAATGACAAAGTGGGAGAAATGAGTGTTACACTGACAACGGGAGATAACTCTTAGGAATGTGAAATTCATCTATTAGAATTAAATGTCATAATTTCACTTTGCAAAGCTTACATTAGAAATGCACTTTGCAAATTTTGTCTTCTTTAATTTCAGAGTACATTTTCTTAATTGCATTCTCTTTGCTTTAACAAAACTAAAATAAACTTTCACTTTGCAGAGTACATTGTATAAATGTATCTGAATGAGTGTAATTTATAAGTATCAAATTTTAAATAAAAGATAATATGAATTAATTATTATGTTCTTGAATCACCCATACCCACACATTTGCATCCTCATTTCCAATTTCAGCGTACCATTTCAAAAATTCAAAAATTATGCACTCGTGAACCAGAAAATTATTGGTTGCCCATAAACATTTACCCACATGAATTAAAATGATGCCCAGCTACTATAGTTTGGCTTTTAAATTACTAAAGTTTTAACAACATGCACATGCATTGTAATAAAAGTTGGTTACATATACTAAGCTTGTGTTACAAACTGTATGGAATGAATAATGAGGAAATTAATTTTGTCTAATTTTGTAGTTTGCTGCTAATCGCTGTTATGACCCGTCCCACGAAGTCTGCCTTCCACCCTCGTTAGGATCTGGTCCGTATACCAACACATCCGGGTCAGGTTACTACTCCGTCCGAGACTACAAAGAAATTCTGAGGTACGCCAAGGCCAGGCACATCCAGGTCATTCCAGAGGTTGATGTCCCGGGTCACGCTGGGTCAGCGGTCAAGGCCATGGAACTCAGATACAAGAGAACGAAAGACGCCAAATATCGCCTCAGTGACCCGAACGACAAATCTCAATACAGGTCTGCCCAGGCACACACAGACAATGCTGTGAATCCTTGTCTGGATTCCACCTACGAATTTTTCAAGGTCATTATACTTCACCTTCATGACCTGCACAAGGACATTCAACCTTTGACCTTTTATATGTTGGGTGGGGATGAGGTCGCCAGAGGAGCATGGGAAAAGTCACCCATGTGTGAGAAATTTAAAAAGGAAAAGGGACTGAATGGCTACCATGATTTGAAGAAGTATTTTTTCAAGAGGCTGATGAATGAGTTGAAGCTGGAGGGCTTGAGTGTTGGATTATGGGAAGATGCAGTTTTAAATGATAACCAGGAGCCACATCCAGTGGAGGAAAGCAAAAAGGGGTGAGTTACGAGAAAGGAAAAAAAAAGTAAAGGCCTAGGGACCTTAAAACTTAGACGTGCTTAGCAAGAAATAATCTTCAATAATGTCAGAAAGGTTATACTGACAAAACTGATAAAGAGGAAAAAAATGAAAACAAAACATATTTAATCTTGTGGTTTATTTAAATAAATATATTACAGACAGCTCTACACATATAGTTGGACCAACATCTGGGAATGGAGGAAAGGATCTCTGGCTTACAAACTCGCTAATGCTGGTTACAAGGTAAATAAAAACTTTACATTTGTACCATCTTCGCTAGCCAAGGGTTTCTGATTAGATACTAGATCCTTATGAACCCTTGGCATATGGTGTTAAAAAAATGGGAATTTTTTCTCAGGTTGTGATTGGAGTTGATCGACCAGTCAGCAATTGTTTCTGTAAATGACAATATCTACGTTTGGGATACATCTTGAGTCTTTAATCAATCTGTTTACCCAAATTTTTTGTTTTAAAATAGTCATATACATGTAAATAGTTGATGGTGACCATACCAACAGGTATGTTGACTTGAAGAAAAATAAAATTGCGTCATATTTTGATTTTGTGTGCTTATCCCCCCAAACTCAAAATTAGTTTGAATTCCTATATAATTATTGAAACCCTCATGATTTTTACATGACCTTATTTTATTTTAAAGGTAGTGATGTCCCCCGCAACCTACTTTTACCTAGACCACCCCTATGAGCCTGACCCTGAAGAGCGAGGATTATACTGGGCGACCCGTTACATAGACACACAGACCGTCTTCAGTTACCAGCCTGACGATCTGTACAAGAACAGAGGGACCCAACATAATGGGGCTCCCATGACAGACAGTATTCTGTGCTCAGGGGGCTGCCCTCTCTTAAAGGAGCCTCAGAATATCAAAGGTATGAGAATCAAGGTACTGAAGGTACTTGCAACTCTTTGTCATCCCCACCACCCATTTCTGAGGAAATTTGAAAAAAGGCAAATAAAAGTTAAACCGGAGGTATCTTTTCTTTCTACTGCTACTGTCAGTCAGGGCAAAAAATTTAATCAGTTTAATAGCTTGTTGATGAAATAATATGGCAATATTTACTTTAGGGCAAATACACAGTACCCCTTAACTGCAATAATGTAGCCCTTTCCAATTTTTAGATCACCTGAGTAACTCAGGTTACCTATTGCTATCCATTTTCGTCCGTCGTGCGTCGTGTGTCGTGTGTTAACATTTCAACATTTTCATCTTCTTCTCTAAAACCACTGAACCAATTTCAACCAAATTTGGTATACAGCATCTATGGGTGAAGGGGAATAAAAATTGTGAATTTCATGGTCCCCGCCCCCCTGGGGCCTGAGGGGTGGGGCCAAAACCACTAAAATTAATGAAATCTTTAGAAATCTTCTTCTTTACTCCTTGACATCAAGCAGGCAAACTGTTGGCATACATGTAATGAGCATTGAGTCCTCTACCAAAATTGTGAAATTCATGGCCCCAGGGTCAGGAGTTCTAGTGCTAAGGCGGGGCTCTATAGATTATTTAGTGAAAAAGCATTATTTCTTTGAAAATCTTCTTCTCTGCTCCTGGGTATTAAATAAACTAACTAAGCACATAGTTATGATGAGCAAGAGTGTCTCTTCTAGATTTGTGAATTTTATGGCCCCAGGGTTAGGGGTTCTGGTGTTAGGGCAGGGCTCTATAGATTATACAGTGAAAATGCATTATTTCTTTGAAAATCTTTTTCTCTGCTCCTGGGTGTTAAATAAACTAACTAAGCACATAGTTATGATGAGCAAGAGTGCCTCTTCCAGATTTGTGAAATTCATGGCCCCAGGGTCGGGGTTCTAGTGCTAGGACGGGGCTCTGTAAATGATATAGTGAAAATGCATTATTTCTTTGAAAGTCTTCTTCTCTGCTTCTGGGTATTAAATAAACTAACTAAGCAAATAGTTATGATGAGCAAGAGTGCCTCTTCCAGATTTGTGAATTTTATGGCCCCAGGGTCAGGGTTCTGGTAGTAGGGCAGGGCTCTTTTGATTATATAGTGAAAATGCATTTATTCTTTGAAAATCTTTTTCTCTGCTTCTGGATATTAAATAAACTAACAAAGCACATAGTTATGATAAGCAAGAGTGCCTATTCCAAAAATTGTGAATTTTATGGCCCCAGGGTCAGGGGTTCTGGTGTAAGGGCAGGGCTCTATTGATTATATAGTGAAAATGCATTTATTCTTTGAAAATCTTCTTCTCTGCTTCTGGGTATTAAATAAACAAACTAAGCACATAGTTATGATAAGCAAGAGTGCTTCTTCCAGATTTGTGAATTTTATGGTCCCAGGGTCAGGGGTTCTGGTGTTAGGGCGGGGCTCTATTGATTATATAGTAAAAATACATTAATTCTTTGAAAATATTTTCCTTTGCTTCTGGGTTTTATGCCAATCATCCAAGTATATATATTTATGATGAAGAAAGGTGCATCTAGCAAAGTGGTTTTTTATGCCCCCTGGGTCAGAGGGGGGGGGGGGGGTTACATAGTCTGAAAATAAATTAATGGTTTGAAATCTGCCCTTTGCAATTAATAAACCATTTTATGATTACATTTGCAAAATTTTGAAATATGTGGCCCATGGATCAGTGGGTGAGGTGCACAACTGGTTATAAAGTGGAAGTGCATTTTCTCTTTGTTACTCTGATCTACCTCTGGGTATTAAGTAAATAGAGTAAGCATGCTAAGTTGATAATTATGATAAGAAATGGTGCCTCTTTCAAAATTGTAAATTATGAATTTCATGGCCTCCGGTTTAAAACACGAACCAAATATAATTGTTTGAAAGTTGTTACACAATACTCAGGTGACCTATAAGGCCCGTGGGCCTCTTGTTTTTTATCTGATATTTTCTGAGGAGAAAAAGAAGAGGGCTACATAAAAATTATTGCTGCTAAGTACCCTTTGAAACCTCTCCAATTGAATAAATCCTGCATTATTGTGTACGGAAGATGCAAATCTGTCCTTAGAAGAACAGCTGAATGTTTTGTTTTTCAAGGAATTGGAACAAATTCTTGTAAATTTGAATACACTAAAGATGAAAATCTGTTCCTAGAGTGACAACTGAATGTTTTGTTTTCCAAGGAATCCAGGCTGACTTATGGACTGAGAGCATCAGAAACACTGACCAGATGGAGTACATGTTGTTCCCACGACTCCTGGCCCTGGCCGAGCGAGCCTGGCACAAGGCACCCTGGGAAAGCATCAAGGACCCGACCCGACGAAAACTGAAGCAGCAGACAGACTGGGAGGTGTTTGTCAACAAAATGGGTCACAAAGAACTGAGGCGATTGGAGGAGATGGGGGTCAAGTATCGGCTGGACCCTCCTGGGGCAAGGTACACATGCAAGAAATGTTTGAGGTCATTTTGTAATTTTTAGCTCTACTGGTCAGAGACCAGAAGAGCTTATGCGATAGTAATGCGTCCGTCGTCCGTCCGTCTGTCTGTCTGTCTGTTAACAATTTTTCAAAATGCTACTCCTCCTACAGTTTTGGTCTGATTTCAATATAACTTGGCACACAGGTAGACTACACTAAGATACATAATTCTGTGCATCGGTTTTTGATTTCGATGAACGGTGTTGCGGTGGTTACTAAAAATAGAAATTTCTGTGAAATTGTTTCAAAATGCTACTCCTCCTACAGTTTTGGTCCGATTTCAATATAACTTGGCACACAAGTAGACTACACTAAGATACATAATTGTGTATATCAGTTTTTGATTTCGATGAACGGTGTTGCCGTGGTTACTAAAAATAGAAATATCTGTGAAATTGTTTCAAAATGCTACTCCTCCTACAGTTTTGGTCCGATTTCAGTATAACTTGGCACACTATGAAAATAGATGAATACACTTTCATACCTTTACACTCGCACATTAAATTATTTTAGAATGCTTTTTTAAACTGTTCTGATTCAATTATATTTAATTAGATAATTAATCGATATGATATTTAATTTACTGAAAGCAACAGTGGGAAAAGTTATACCGACACAGACAGTAATTTTGTCCACATTATTTATAAAATGTAAATAAAGACTTAACATGGAGAAAGAGATGAACTCTGCCTTACTCCTGGCTGTCCTAGGGTGGAGTGAATTAGTTAGGGTATTTGGCGCCAAGCATGCACATTTGGTGCCAAAGTAAAACCACACACACAATTCTCACTCTAAAATATCCACCAATCATACACCTCCAAGTCTAATCTATTCTGACCCATACACCTATGACCTTTAACACTCCCAGTTCAACCAATGAACATTCAACACCATGAATATGAATGAGACTTTATGAATGGACACATAGTAAATTCCAGAGGACTGTAATTTACTAGGCTGTATAGGTGAAAATGATGATGATTGTAATGAAATATTTTAGGTCAACACATCATTAATACATATGAAGTACCGTTTAAGCAGAATTTTTAGCGAGGATGTAATTTTGACATTATTAGCAAGGCTGCCAAGATCGCTAAAATTGAATATCGCTAAAAATTAACTGCGCTTTATTTGTAATAGCTTCTTAGTAAGCTTTATAAAATCACTAAAATTACATTTCACTAATAATAAAATAGCATTTTTTAAGGACAAATCACTGAATTTGCATCTCGCTTAGATTTCCACTTATACGGTATTTATTTGACATAATAAAATTTATTCACCCTGTGACAAAAGTGAAAGAAGGAAGAACACATGGAGTAGGAGGTATTCTTCTAGTTGCATTGTTTCAGTTAAGTTTTGAGACTTTTTGTAGTGTATTTATTATTGTAAGGGATTGAAGAAGAGATATTTGTTAACTAGAATCAAAGTCCTTGGTGTTCATAAGAAAAATGATGCAGGGTAGAGGAACATTTTGTAGGATTGAATTTATAAAATCATATTTGTTGCTGCTCTGTGATATTAAATATTGGTACAGTACTGTTGAATGCTCTTCAGGAGTTCAGTTTGAAATTTAACCACTTAAAATGTACTTACTGATATTTACAGGTTCAGTAACTCAATTTTGGAAGTAAATACAGTTTTCCCTGGGACGTCCACTGAATACAGCTTAGATAGTGGGAAAACATGGAAAAAATATGACCCAGAAATTTCTACTAAACTCCAACACAAAGGCAGTATTTTGGTGCGATCTGTGTAAGTATATATATTTTTTTTGACATCTTTCCTCAGGGCTATTCCAGAGAAAAATGTATGGGGGGGTTGGAAGGCACTTTTATTTTTACCCCACCACCCATACATTTTTAATTGCTTTCTCCCCCACCACCCATCTAAATTTAAAATATTTTTTTAAAGAATTGTGTTTTAAGTTATGTATAATAAAATTTTATGTACCGCTACTTTTTTCAAGCATTTGCACTTTATGCAACTTGAAATGAGTGTTTGCTTTTGGGATGTATCCAAACAATGGACTCATTCAAAAAGAAAAAAAAAATAAATATGATGCAAATCTAAATATTATGCACAAAACTTTCATTTTTTCATTACTTTGAAAATAGTTTTAATCTTTTTTGAAAAGAATTTAGAAAGATATTTTTATGCAAATTTTAACAGAAACAAAAGTTTTGTAAGATTTTACAATCAGCTAATTATTTTAGTTCAAGTCCAAAGTTCTTTTGTAACACAAGCCACAGAGTTCCTACTACAGCCTATGGGTTTCTGTTTTTTTTTTTTTGGGGGGGGGGGCACTAAAGTTATGTAGGGCATTGTCTACTTAGTGGGACATGAAAAAATATACATAGTCTCAATCCCACCTAACAACCGTGCAGGCACTT